TGGCAGAGACAGTAAAAAGAAAAATGCTCATACTTGTTGGCAATCCACTGAAAAGAAGTGGAACAGCTGTCTTGATAAATACCCACTGTGCTTAATGTAGGCAAATTTTTCATATTCTTCATCAATTATTTACTTGATAAGACAGCATTCCCTTTTACACGTCAACCATTTTCTATATTGGGCAGTTCTTTTTTATTTTGTTTGGATTATATAAATTATTATTTGATTATATTATTTCATATTATACTAATTTTGAATTTCTATAGTAATGAATTAGGAAAATGTTAGACGCTTTTCTGATACATGTTAAGGTTGTATCAAGGACAGCGAAAAAAATATTGATAGAGAACCTTTTATAGTAAGCGTAAATCCAAATACATTTATATTTTATAAGGCTGCCGTTCGTTTTTGCATTTGTTCTTCTCTAGCCTCTAATTACATTGCTAGTTGATTTAGTTGAAGGAATCCAATTTTATCCTTTGTATTCCGAAACTGATCTTCAGTCTCTGTTCTTCTAGGTAATATTTCAATTATCCATAATAAACAGATAAAAACAATTTTAAATAAAGTATAACTTATTTTATTTGCTTCAAGATCAAACATCATTATTTATTCAAATCTCAAATTCTACTGAAATGTTAGTATGCAGGCAGCATCCAACTATTTTGCCTTTTTTACTTCACATTTTAAAAATGTCACACACTTTTGGTTTATTTCATTTAAGACTATTTTAAAGCTTTGTGTATTTGATATGGTATACAGTTTTTGCAAACTGTAAGAGTTCCGCAACCATCACACTGAGAGCATTCAGCATAATAGACTACTGAGATAGAATTAGAAATAAAAATCCCCAAATAGAAAACATTTTAATTAAAGAACACCATGGAAAATAATGGTGCCTAATTCTTTGCTTATCCTAAATACATCCTTTTCTTTTTCTTTAAAAAACAAAACAAAAGAAAAGAAAAACTATTTGTGTATTGGCACACAAAATTCCTTTTTTTATTTTTAGTTAAGTGTTGCTAGATATCATAGTACAAAAATAAGTGGAAATAAGCAAGTAAGTTTTTCTGAAACTGTTTACAATGTAATAGATACTACCTTTCTTCACCAGCAGCTATGTCTCCTGTTGTCCTCAATCCATTATTCTACTCATTTATCGTGAACTCTAGCTACTGACTGGTTATGTATGCAAAAGTTTTAGTAATTCTTTCATGGTTCAAATAGCCTTCATAAAAATGTATATATTTGTGCATAAGGAAGTGGAATACAGGATGTTAGCTTGTTCTAAACTGTAAACCTATATATATTTAGGAAGACTTACAGGGGTAGGTGATCTATGGTGTTAATCTGTGTTCTAAAAGTTGTTTTTAACACAGTCATTCAATGCTTCAAATATTTATGCAAGGTGAAGTATGATTGTGCATTGGCTGTTCAGGATTAAAGATGTTTTAGGTGATACAGAAGGAAAAGTTAAAGCTGAGAAGAGTAGATGATAAGCAGTGAGGTGAGAAATAGGTTCAGTTTATAACACCTACATTTGAGCATCTAAATATAGGTGTCTGCAGTGAGTGAGGCATCTCATTTCTCTTTATAGACAATGGCAGCCTAGTCAATATGGTTAGTGGTGTTACACACAGTTCAACTGACATGCCAGTAGGTGTCCACTTCTAGGTGAGTTGAATCACTCTGCAAGCTGCTCTGTGATGGAAAATTAGATATCTAGTTCATGTGTAAATACTTATGCTTAGACATGTAAATTTAGGTGTTAAAAGCTTGAGCTGAATCCCGCTTAATGTGTCCCACAGCTTATTGCTTTGTTTTTTGGCATTTGTACTGGTAGGCAGGACAGTTTAGCATTTTTAATGAAATTCATCAAGTTTCTGTGGAGAGATTTTCAGAATATTTAATAAGGATGGTATATCCCTGATACCTGTTTGTGTGGGTGATGCTCACTGTATATAAGTAATGTTTGTGTGCCAGCTGCAGATTTTTGTTCCCCCTTTTTCTATCTTAACCCACCCTTTCTTGCTACCTACGTGGTTTTCTGTGTATCTCCATCACCTCATCTCAGCAGAATATTGTGTAACTGGGGAGTGGGTGCTTTTGTTCCCAAACTTCTGGGCAGTAAGACAAGCTATAAAGCCAGTGTGGACAGGAGCTGTGCGAAACCTCTCAGAGATATTAGTATTCATAGTTCTCCCAAGAAGAATTGTGGTTTTGGTTCTCCAGAGCTGAAGTCCTCAGACTTTGAAACCTCAACACAGTGACATTCAGCTTGCCTGGCATGTCTTTATTGTATGTCCAAGAGCCAGTGCAGCAAGAATAACTCCACAGAGATTTAGGGGCATACAGGGCTTTAGCAATGCTATTTCTTCAGGGCACTGAGTAACTGAAGTTAATGTTGCAAGTAAACAATTTTACATCACTGCCTTGATATAGAACTGTGGACTTCCCACAGTAAAAACTTGTAAAAATTTTAACCATCCATTTCTCCTGACATCTTTCCTACTTAGCTTATCCTGAAAGTAATACATGTCTTTCTTTTATGCAAACAAAAGATTCTTCCACTCCATCTTGATATCTCTACCTCTACACTTTCCCTTTCTTTCTTCGCAAGATCCTATTCACACTGAAACAAGTTGCCATATTTCTGCTATACAGAATCTGCAGAGCTTCTTTCACCCTGCCAGCTTTCTAGACCAACCTGCCACCTTTTGGATTAGAAAATGTCATTAAATTATGCTAGCATGCTACCAGTACCAGATAGTGCTAATGACTCTTTGTTTGAGAATTTAAAAGTGAAGAATTAAATCTAAGAGTTAAGGTTCTGTAAAGGAAAAGAGGAATCTAAAGAGATATAGGTAAAACTACTGTAGTTCAAGACAGACCTTTGTTTTCAGTATCTCCGTAGTAGAAATCAGTAAGTCTTTTGAAAATGTGTTGGGCCAATTTTTTTTACTCATTTAGCAATATATATAAGAGTAGTTCTTTTGAATTCTTATTCCTAATTCTCTTGAAGTTTCCTGTGGAATTTTGCCAATTTTGCCAAGATCTTTTTGAATAAATATAAAAGAATTTTAGGACAAATATTAAGGCAATTTTAGCTAAATTCTCATGATAAATTTGACTGTAATGCAAAATTAATTTGTCTATTGTGGGATAAATTGTCCTCCCACTCCTTGTCATTCCTTCCCATAGCTTCCTATTTGAGAATTCCCGTCACAGTGGAAGCTCATACGCGAGCTGACTCTCCACAGCTTGTTCCAATTCTGAGAAGACACAGGGCTGTCAAGTATAAGACAGTCTCTGTGAAGTGGAGAAGACCATAGATTGCTGAGTGGATCTTGACATGAGAAAATTTGACCCTACATATACAGGTTTCAACTCTGTTTCTGAAATAAATCTGCGTGACAGTTTTTGTTTTTTGCATTGTTCAAACATGCAACTATTTGCTCCACAGAATAACCAAGTTTAACTATAGGAACAGCACTTGTTAATGTCAAAACATTGTTTGGGTACAACTTAATCTCCTGTGATCATGTACTTATTCGTTATATGCCTGCTTGAGTTATTTTCATCAAGAAATTCTGTCTATGTGTCGCTTTGGCAACATCTTTGCAGAGTTTACAACTTTGAAAAACATGTTGGCATCAACTATGCAGTCCTTCTAAACAGCTGCTCTGCAGTCATGCTGTTTTAACATGCCACCACACATGGCTGAATTATGCAAATAGTTAATATTAAATGACTGAGATACAAGAACAATTTGTACACTTGATAAAGCTGGTCTGTGGAGTGTAACATCCATTCATATAACTGAATTAGTGTGGGACAAATTAAAGACAACAGTAGACAAAGAGAAGGTATATATCAGGAGTGTTTTAAAAGTCTGAATTTTGTTGAATTAGTTTTTAATAATGCAATGAAAATAGAATGTGTTTCAATAATTTTCTAGTAAGAGTTAAGAAGTAAGATATAGCAAATGTTTGTCATTCAGCTATAAATGAGTTACACTGTTCTGAAACAATATTAATTATTATAATGCTAATAATTAGGAATAGTAGAAGTTTGTGGAAGACCACAGCATTTATAAAGAGCAAGCAAGCAAAAACATTAATAATTTAAAAAAAAATAGTAATATTGTTTTAAATTTACCTTTGAAAGGCTTTCTACTGACTTTACTGTTCCAATAATAAACTGTGAAGTACAAGGTGGAGGTGAAACAATGGATGAAAGGCTCCAAATTCTGTAACTTATTTTATGCTAATTACCTCCATTAAAGATGGGGAAAGAAAGTGTTAGGCACTGTGAGATGCAAGGAGACAAAAGAAGGTGACCTATTAAATAACGAAAAAAATGTTTTCCTTTCTTATTTTACTGTATGTTTTGAATAATCTGCTTTTCTTAAGCTAAGGAGTAAGAAAAAAAAATCTTTTCTAATGAATGCAAATTGTTTACAAAGCAGATGGTTAGAATGTCCAAAAAAGAATGCATTTCTGTACCCTTTGTTCTTTCTTTTTCCATATTTGAACTTTCATTTTTCCTTCAGTTTCTTTTCTACTTTTTTTTTTTTTTGCTGTAGATCCTCCAAAGCCGTTTTCATTGATAGACTTTTCTTTTTTTCTGATTTGGATATAAATATGTTTATATATATATTTCTAGGAATGCACCTATAAGACTTCTATGCAAGACCTAATTTAAAAGGACAGAGTGGGTTCCTTAATGTATGATGAATATTATCTTTTACAGCATTTAAGCACTACAGAATTTGAGTTGTATAAACTGTGTGCTTTTTTTTTTGCTTTGTTCCTTTTACTTAGTGTCTAATTAGTAATCTTCTTAACAATCGCAAGCAAATCATCCTTTTTGTTCTAGTTACTGATCCATTTAGAACTTTAGTTTAGTGAATATAAATTCATTATTAACAAACAATCAATTTAACAGGCTCAGATGTAATTTTACTGAATAACTTAGCATTGCCTTTTTTGATTTTACAGGAACTAGCAGTAATGAAACAGGTTCTAATTAGTCTACAAGGTAAATGTTATGAACAAAATTTACCTCAGTCTCATACTGATGTAAAAAGTGTGACTGCAAAAAGCAAATCAAGCCCTTCAGGAAAACTGGTGCCAGAACATGAAGAAGAAAATGTATTTACACCTAAACCAACATTATTTGTAAGTACTATAATTCAAGGAAGTGACATAAGCTTTTTTGATTATTTTTCCTCACTTTTTAAAAAGAAAAAGGTGTATTCATAGTTCAAGGAGGAATATAATTAATTCAGCTGAAATTTTTGGCTCTTTATGGGAATGGTCAATGTTAAGGACATAAATTGCTGTGTTTAAGATGTTATTTTGCTCTTCAGCTGTTTCTACATCTTAAGTTCACAGTGAACAATATTTTTTTTTAAATGCAGTTGTTATAGAATTAAGAGTGGGTAGCCTAAACAATTTTGCCATATCAAATATTTTAAAAGGTAAAAGGATCCACAAAGTGTACATATAATTTTAAATCTACTCTGAACATGTATGAGTTGAGCATGTGTATGTATGTATATTGTGGAGCAGGGATGAAGGAATAGATGTACTTATGTATATTAATATTCACATTCATGCTCAGGATTGATAGCACCTCTGTTATTAAGGATGCCTGATATCTCTTTTATAGCTTTAGAAACAAAATGCTTTAAATGATTTAAATACCTCAAGCTGTCTGCTTTCAGTGTTCAATATATTAGCTTTTTAGTGCCTTTAGTATTCTTTGTTCTATGAAAGCTTCAGGCAAATGGTTAAAAAATTTCTTCAGTATGGCTGTCCTAAACTGGTAAATTTAAAAGGGATAAGGACCAAGACTGAGTCACAGAACGAATCATGACTTGAGTTCACATTGCTTGAGGCCACTTTGTTCTAGACTAGAATAGCTGTATCCACGCTGCATAGCGTTTGACCCCTGCCTTTTCCCTGGGACCCATATGGTGTTGCTGTGATTCAAAAGTATCATTACTATTTTTCTGTGGAGAGCTTTTTAAATTTCAAAATATCTTAAATAATGTGAGGTTTATATTGCAGCACTTCAGAATATTGTTCTTATAGTGCAAAACGTGGAGGGGTAGTTGTATCTCCTGGGTGCAATGTGAGTGCATGTGGGGATTTTGAGGGGGCAAAGCATGCTTGGATAGTGTTGTGAGGCTGTTCAGAGGTAAGAGAAACAAATGTAATGCTGTCTTACCCATAATCCTTTTGGAAGTGCCAAATCATCCATAATGCCCAAACTTTGTCTTTGACAGAGCTATTTAGGGTTCTAAAACAGAGCCAGAATTTTAACTAACAATTAGGTTGTGTGGACTGTCAGGGATTCAATGTTTAATCTATCCTCTCTTACTCAGGGGTATGTAAAAGGCCTAGGGATCTAGAAAAAAACCCTGACATTTAAAAATTCTAATCAATTTTATTTTTTTAGTTAGCATTTTCATACCTTGGAGTAAGGAACTGAAAATGGGCAGGTGGCAGGTTTTCTTACTAAATAGGGAGCAATGTTAATAGTCCTGTGAAAATCTGTCCCTATTTTGGCCAATTCCTGTTTTTTTAAACATTTAGACAAATAAAGCAGACTTACTTTTGTAACTGAAATCTTGAATATGAGAGAAAGGCAGAGGTCAAAATGTGACGAGGAGCCCCAGCAATAAGACCTAGCAGACTAAGGCAGATTGAACGTTGTCTGCTTATTAAGTCTTCGATGAAAAGAAAGAATAGAAAGGGGACAGAAAACAGAACTAGAAAGAGACAAGTTTAGGGACAACAGGCAAAAGAGACATTATACGCTAAAGCAAGAGATTATACCCAGCCTTGAGAGCAGAACAGTCCTTACCTTGTTCCTCCTTCCCTTTTTACATTTTATTTCTCTACATATACATCCATTGAAACTGCCACAAGAATGTTAAGCAATCCTGACTGTGTAGCAGTAGTCCATAAGACTACAAAGTCAAGAAGTTACGGATAATTCTCTGCAAATAAAATATGTTCTACTCTATCAGAAAACTGCAGAATTCTTTTATTTTAACTTTTTTAGCACTATATTCTTGCATGAAGTGTTGGTCAGTTATGGTATACCTAAGATGTCTTTTCCAGGTTCTGTCCCATTTTCAAATGGTACGACGCAATTTAGAATGAAAGCTATTTATGGTACAGATAATGCATGTTTCATTGTGATAGATATTTTAAAGCAATTAAATCATTTAGTTCTTACTGTACGCTTTTTGTAACCTAGAAATAGGGACTTTTTAGTACAAATACATATTAATAATTTTAAATGTATAGTTTTATTTTTAGTTTATTTGAATGTAAGCAAAGCTTTCCATTATCAATGTAAACTACATAAGAAGAGACTTCTGTGTAGGTGGTATGTTTTTCTCCTGACTTCCACCCTGTCTCACAATTAAAACATTCTTTATTTCACAGACAAATAAAGAGGCACCTGTATGGTACAGGAAACTGCAGCAGAAAACTTCGCCTTAACATTTTTCCAAAAACATTCAAGATAACCTCTGGGGCAATTTTTCTTTGAAGATGTTTTCACCATAATCATGCCCTTGTTACCATAAAGGAAAACAACTGTTTTATTTTTAACTATACTTTTATACCTATAAAACAGTCTTATGCATCTTAAAATTTTTACGTGTGTCATGTGAATGAAATATGTGGAAATAATGCATGCAGTGATTTTACTAACATGTGTTTGAATTAAAAAAGGATAAATAAATGCTAACATATTGTATGCATTTATAACCTGGGCTATTAAAGGGCTTCTTATTCAGAGTGTTCAAATGAATGCATATTTCAGCTTTTTTATATTGTTTTTCTTGGACACTGTGTTTCATGCCACATTCCTTGCAACTATTCTGGCTCATAGAAATTTAAGAAATATACGTGAGTTAGTTAGCATCAGACTATATCCGACTTTCAGTGAAGGAAATTCATGTCAGGTGAAGAAAAATAAATTCCTAATCAGTCCTGTAGTTTTGTCATTTTTTTTTAACAAACAGTCATTAAAAATCTTTTGAAAAAGCAATAAAATATAGCCTGATTATCAGCGCCGATACTTTATGGGCTAGATACACTTTCCTTAGTCTAGTTAAAACAATGTAAGAACAATAATAGAATAGAACAATAATAGATCTGCCAGTGTTGTAGTCATGCAAAGGTGAAATAGGTAATTTGCCATTTTTAATTGTATCAAAATGAGCCCCATCTTCCAAGAATGCAGTCCATTTATTCATTCCATTGCACTGTGTGTTTAGTCTGTAGTAAAAATCTCTAATAACATAGAGCATTTTAAAGCACCTCTGATTGCTATGCTAAATTTTATATATAACATAAATAGATTGTATTATTTGAAGTCACATATACTAAAAATATTGCTCAGATTTACATGTAAGAGGAAGCTCCCTTTCTTTCGCTTCCCTCTTGCCCTGCCAGCATCTCTGCAACTGATTCATTGGTCCTTGCTGGACATGAACAGTAACTACTTGCTATATATAAATGCTGAGCTATATCAAGCTTGTAATTCCTAGATATGCCTTTCTCCATTTTCCAAACAGCAGCCTGAAGCAAAGCAATACTTCTTTTAGTCCAGGTGAGCTTCAATTTCTTTATAATTTTTTCTAATTCTAGGAGACTGAGAAAAAAGTGCCAGCATACTATGCAGTATACTGCTTAGATGTCGTTAATTGTTAGTTTAATAATGTCTGGTGAGAGAATAACTTCCGATGTTGTTTCAGAAATGTAAATAGATAATAAAATAAATTGTATTTACTCCTAAAAATAAACAACCAGAAAGTCGTGAATACTCAGCTTTAATGAGTATGTACAAAAGGTATGGAGTATACTTGGTTTATTCTGCTTCATCTTTTGATCAAAATTGGGTACATATAGGGAAGAAGGATATTACTGGATTGATAAATATTTTGAAGGCCAAACAAGTTTATGTGCTAAAGCACATCACAGGATTAAAATTGTGATGCTTTGAATGAGGGAGGCAAAGTATGCAGGCAGAGGTAATACCTTATTAGACTTAACTGGTGTTCACTGGAAAAAAAAATACACAGATATTTGGGCTCACAGATCTATCTGTACAGACATTCCTGGATAAACCTTGGTATCATGAAGTCTAGGTTTTTATCTAACTTATATTTTTATGTGAATTAAATCATTAACTTTTTTTTTTCTTTCAGGTCCCATATGGCAGATATGAATTTTGTAATTTTGTAATAAATACTTCTTATGATTCACTGTACCTAGCCGGACTTCTCAGGCTGTCCTGTTTATCTGTTAAATTGTATTATTTGGAAGGATCGTGAACTTTTAGATAGAAGACTGGCTGGAGTGCAAGTATTCACATTTGTTCTCGCATAGTATTCTTATAGCCAAATTGATGACATATGGACTTATAAGGTGGGTACAAAAATTGGCTGAACTGCTAGGCTCAAGGAATTATGATCAGCAGTGCAAAGTCCAGCTGGTAGCACCCTGCCATAGCATACTAGCATTGCATATCATACTAGCATCCCTGAGCAAGTTCAAAGACAGTACCAAATTTGAGGGAGTGGTCTATATGGTGCAGGGAGGGCTGCTATCTAGAGAGACTTAGGCTGGAAAAACAGGTAGACAGGCACCTCATGAAGTTCAGCAAAAACAAATACAAAGTCCCGCATCTGAGGTGGAATAACCCCGTGCACCAGTACAGGCTGTTGCGGGCGTGCTAACTAGCTTGAAAGCTGCTTGGCAGAAAAAGACCTCAGGGTCCTGGTGGACAGAAAGTTGAATGCGAGGCAGCAATGCATCCTTACAGCACATAAGCCAACCACATCCTGGGCTGTGTGAAAAAGAAGGTCCAGGAGAGTAAACGCTCCCCTCCGTTTGGCACCTGTGAGACCACATGTGGAGTGCCGTGTGCAGTTTTGGGCTCCCGCATTGGAGAAGGACATTGACATATTGGAGCAAGTCCAGCAGAGGTCTACCAAGATGGTCAGGGCTGTACCATATTACATAAAGGAGAGGCTGAAAGAACTGGGCTTGTTCAGCCTTAAAAAGAGGGCTGGGAGGGGATCTTTTTGCAGTCTTCAACTACCTAATGGAATAGTAGAGAAATGACAGAGCCAGGCTCTTCTGAGAGGTGCGCAGTGATAGACCAAGAAGCAATGGACGTGAGTTGGAACACGGGAAATTTCAACTAGCTATTATGAAAAATGTTTTTACTGTGAGGGAGGGTAGTCAGACACTGGAACAGGCTGCCCAGAGAGGTAGTGGAATCTTCATCCTTGCAGATACTCAGAACTCAACTGGACAAAGTCCTGAGCAACCTGATCTAATTGGATCTGTTTGATCAGACGGTTGGGCTAGATGACTGACTTTCAGAATTCCCTTCCAACCTAAATTATTCTATGATAATATTTATACATATATTCATTTCAGATAATGATATTAATTTACTTCTCCACATCCAGTAGACACAAAATTTTTAACTCGTTCATGGAAATAAAATATGCAAGAACATCTTGAAATTTCCAAAATGAAATATACTTTTTAAAATACTGTGTCCTCCAGGCAACCTGATTTTCTAGGAAAGCTGACAGAAGATTAAGTTGATTTCTGGTGAAATGTTATTGACATGCAAGCAGTTCTTTAGATGACAAAGTGATATATTCTGACAGAAGAGGTTTTTTTTTTTTTGAAAAATTGCTAACAAGCTCCAAATTGAAATTTGGAAAAATGAAAGTCAGGTTTTTTCATATGTAGAGGCATAATTCTGTTGGTATATTCTTTTAAGCTATATAGTCCTTGTACAAATCTGCTCAATGTGTAAATTTTTTTCCAGTTGAAGACTTTGTATTTTTTGTGTCTTTTTATGTCTCTCCATTAGACTCTAAGGCTATAGTTAATTGCCTAGGAGGAGACCTTCTAACCTTTTCATGTGAAAGACAGAATGTCACTTAAATATAACTATTCAAATGTGAAATGCCCTACAGCAAAAATTAATGAACCTTCTTGCTCTTTAAGTAATGAAAAAGTTCAGTTGCATTACCTGTACAGCATTTTTACTGATGTTATTTCCCACAGACGTAGTTGTCAAATGAAGTATTCCAGAATTCTTCTTCATGAAATGGTCTTTGCAGTTCCCTATTGTAGAAGGTCTTGTGTCGATGATCTGTGAGTCAAAAATAATGAGGTAAAGAGATATTTCTAAGGGTAGTCATGCGTGTAAGCAACTTGTGACTGAAGAGCCCAGCCCACATAATCATCCCCAGTTCCTCTTTTTCAACCTAAAGAGAGGAAAGAAAGAAAAATCTCCATCCTGAAATACATTTCTTGGTACATTAAGTTGGTATTACTCAAGTGTTAAGTTTCATAACTATAGGGGTTGAATTAGACAGAAGGACAGTCAGTTTAGAGCAGGTTAGGATTTTTTTTTCTTTTTACAGTATAATTGCTCTCTCACATTTCCATCTTTTGCTAGAAGCAAAGTAGCTTCTAAATCAACAAGGAAATGGCTTGATCTGGGAAAAAAATCAAAAAAATGAAATTACTTTCTTTAATAAGGAGCTAAACTCTCTTAGGCTTGTATGCCGAATCCTGTGGTCAAATTTCATTGGCGTCGTTGTTTCTAAATATCTTCTATGCAAATAAATGTAATGTAATTGGGATTTGTAGCCTTCCTTCCCTTCAGAACAGTCTGTAGAAAACAGTGGTGAAACCTCAGAAAAGAGGAACGATTGTAAATTTAAATATTAGTTGTCTGAATATTTGTCAGTATCTCTTGGATAAGATTTGCTACCTTCCCACTTTCACTGGTATTTTCAGTTTCACTTATCTTTTTGTATGACATGTAGTTCTAGCAAAAGGGAAGACTAACTCTACTAAAAAAAACTCTCACATCCACAGACAATCAGATAGAATTTTTCTGTTCCTGGTATGCGTTCATCAACTTAAACATCTTTGTAGGAACACAATTGCTAGAAGACTAGAGAGCATGAATTTCTAGAAATAATTTATTACTTGTTGAAGTAGTAGTTATTTATGATTTAGATGCCTCAATCAGTTGTCAATCTGTTCCACATTTTTTTGCATGAAAACAGATTTATACACAACAGTTTGTCTGTACCATTCTCTCATAACTTTCATACTTGTTACTCTCGTTGGGGAGGTCTATTGAGGGAAGAATTTATCTCCCTGTTAACATTACATTTAATGGAACACATGCCGAACTTTACTAAGTCAAAGAAATGTATCCCTGGTATTTTCTTATACCAAAGAATATAGAGGATCTGTATTCATTCTTGACCTTTGAAAATGAAATAAGTACCTCTAGAAGATCAAGTTTTGCCTAGTGTCTTTGGAAAATATTATCCCCTTCTTAAAATTCCCAGGATTGATTGGAACTCTTGACCTTTAAAATGCATGCTTCCATAGCTTAAAAAGGCAGTTACACTTAGGGTATTTCAGAGTGAAGCTAGGCAGCAATCAGCAACAGTACTAGGTGCTAACTCATGGTGGGACAGCGTTGCCAGAGGAAATGGACAACAGTTGGGAATTATGGAAGAGTTGGGGGGATACTGCAGAAATTCTTAGCACTCAGAGAAGTAGCTAGCACTCTTCTCAGATGTTTAGACCCTGTGTACCTCTGCTGCAACTCTTTAAGCCCTCTGCTGAGAGAATGAGAAGCGTTAGCTTTGTTACACAAAAGTAATTTTGTAGAGTTCCTTGGGGTTTCTTTCCTCAGTGATAAGCCTTGCATAACAGTAAATAGATCTCAGCTGACCATAAATACCTGTATTTTTCTTTTTTTTTTCTTTTTTTGAGAGAGACTCCTTTTTGTCAGGACATTGGAACTGCATTCAAATAAATGATGAATTTTAATTAACTTTCCATTTAAAGGATGAAGGAGGCAAAAAAAAATCATCTCTGTGAAAGTGAGAATTGGCAGAAGTATTAAATATAAAAAGTTAGGACTACTCATAGAAATAGCTTTTACTCAGAAACTTACATGTTTTCATAGATTGTGTGCCCCTTTTGAAGATACTGCAGAAATAACCACTGTAAAAGAGAATGCGGCTTTGATTGAAGCAATAGAATCAACTTTGTTTGACCATGAATAATCGAAGTCTTTGTGTTAATGCTTCTTTTAAGGAGTAGTGGATCAGTAAATGTAACTTAATTGCAGGAAAAGTCTTATGAATGGAATTTATGACTGCATTTCAATGAAAGTCTTTTCATTTTTCTTTCTTGGTTAAATAGAAGAAGGATTACTTAGATTATTCAGTGTTGCAGCTGAAACTTAGCAATTCCCAGTGCTCCCTTTTATCGTGATTCTAGAGATACATACTGCAGCATGCAAGACTTTCTCTTTTGTTTCCTTATTCAGATCTTTAGAAGAATATGTTTCTACGTGCATCATTATTAGGTAGAGCCTAGCAATGTAATGCTTGACTTCTGTGACAAAGTTGTCATCTAGAATGTATATATGCCTTTTAAACAGGATTATTCCCTAAGTGAAGAGACCCTTTCTAAAAGAAAGAGTTGGAAATATTCCCACTAAGTTCTCTATCATAACTAGAGGGATGGTCATTTCTGTGCCCAGACTTTCTTATGCTCCTCACCACTGTTGCAGTGCCATACATGCAGGAGACTTGTCACTCTGCATTTCACAGGCCTGTGATTGTCAAGCACACAGTTGCCAGTACCAGTGGAGCCTTGTAAATGCAGATTCACAAGTTGTCATCTGGAGCTGTGTTTGAGATGTTCACACATAAATTGATAGCACTCATCTTTTCTGTGAGCCTGTGGAAAGTGTAAGTAAGGAAAAAAAGCAATGCTTAGTGCAGTCTGTTCCTCCCATTTCTCACCTCTCTCCTTCCTGGGAGTTAAATAATTTTGATGTGTAAATAAAACTTTATTGCGTCCTTGTCCTTGGATAGTTGAAAGTAAACATTCTGCAAGTCCTGCAAGGATTGTTAAATCCTTTCTTTTTGATATGTCTTCAGAGATCTGTATTCAGATCTCAGGTATTAATCAGGCAACACTTAAAAAATGATTAAGGACCTCTCTGCTTACACATTAATCTTTATTTTATTAACTTATGATTTAAATAGTAAGTCTCAAAAATCCACTCAGTGTTTATGAGTATAGTGCTACGTGCTTGAAAGTAGCAACAAGCAGTGAAGGGAATAATATGTCCATGACT